AACTAGAAAAGATATTCCTAGATAGACCGGGTTTACATATTTATCGCAGAACTAATTGCATGTAACTTTAAAAACAATTATTTGTACACAGTATTCACGCTAAACTTGTAAACCTCAGGTCTAATACTAACACTAAATATATACATACGTATAGATCATTATTCTTAATTTGTTAAATTATCAATAAACTATTGAATCAATAAGTCAAAATGTGATTCACATATAAATACAAACCGATATTTTTGTCTGTTTTGTCTGAGTTAGCCTGATCGGAAAAGGTCGTAAGGCGATTTTCATGGCAAAGACCACAATTAGTTTATATTGACATATGATCAGCTTATTATAAAAAAGAAGTGCATGATCGCGACGAGTTATTTTATTTTCTATTCACAATAAAAATCAAGTTTTTTTTCCTGTTCATTTATCAAACCGTTTTTTATAATTTTTAAAAAATATCTAATAATGAGATACAATTTCATTTTTATAAATATATTGCCGTTATTATTTATTTTTACATTACATTGCTATTCGCAAAATTATCAGCATCCTTTGGAAAAATTATGGGATGGAGATGCTAATTATGTATCTCGATTATTAGAAACCGAGGTGACATTAAAAATGGTGGATGAAATTTTAAAATCATTACTAGATCAATATGATACGGACTTTGGAGGATCTTACATAGATATAAATAATAAACTTATAATGGTAAAACATTAGATCCGGAAATAATCGAAAAGATAAGATTTTCACCTCAGATATTTCATTACCGACAGTATTTATTGTTCGAACCAGCAAAAAAATCCTTACGTCAATTAAGATACGAATTTGATCAGATAAAACAATTAGTTGTAGATCATAGAAAAAAAATCCTAATAGCTTACTGTCCATTCTCATTTACACTGATGAAAAGGCTAATAATAACGTTGTGGTTATTTACAATGATTTTGGAAGTAATGAAAGACTTAAAGATGCCATCAAACATTATGACCCGATAATTCATGAAGATTTTGGAAGTAATGAAAGACTTAAAGATGCCATCAAACATTATGACCCGATAATTCATAAATCAATCCCACATAATTCAGGTATTTCCAAACATAGACGCCAAAGTAAAATCGGCATACGTGAGGTGGGTTCAAAGATCTTAAGTGGAGATGGTCTATATAATGAACAAACAAATATTGCATTTTCAGTGGGCTTTTGGGCGAAAAGTGCAACAAATGAAGATCTGGATTACATAGTAACTGCGGGACATTGTTTTAATTCTGTTTCAAATATTATTAATATTCAATGGAAGGTGGAACAGTATACTATATCCATACCTGTTGGAACGCCTGTATTTTTTAGTATAGAACCATATGATTTTGGTTTAATCAAAGTAAGTAATCGCTTTAGGTCCAGACTATTAGCGAATATAAAGAATATAGATTATAGACAATATCCAGAATTATTTATAAATGGATATACAAGAATATCTAGTCATGGTATTCATATATGTAAATCTGGTATGGCTACTCGTGTTTCTTGTGGGTATACAGTGGGGTCAAATGGAGTTTTCATAGATAAACTTGGTATTTCAGAGAACCTAATCATTTCAAACGTTGAAGCGAATAAAGGTGATAGCGGAGCAGCTTTATTTTCCTTTTCACGGCCACAAGATTTGCGTTTAGTAAATTTAATTGGTATACTTACTGGAAGTTTACACTTACTCGTTTACACGATGGAAGTGGCAAATTAACTGCCGGTCTACCAATAGAATTTATTCTCAATAACAATAAGATACTGTTACTATTGTTTTGGGAGAGCGTATAGAACTATCGGCACAATTTAACTCCAATAGTTAACTTATATGTTCT